TTCTGCTAGGGTAACAGGGCACCACAACCCTCCCCAGTACCGATCAACCTAGCTCTGACGGACAGGAAGTGCCTTCCTCCCTCAACAATTCCCGTAGCGGCAAGCSCCTAAGCAGGTTACAGGGTCAATACCCCAGCGCCAGCTATGTCGGACGATCTGGTTATGCCTTCCACCCTCGGCATAACTTCCCAGGCCTCAAGCTCCCCCTGGGTTACAGAGCAGCGGCTCCAGCACCGGCCTGTGTTGTCCCAGCATCGTCCTTCTAACCTACTTACCTTAACAAACAACCCCTTCTGTTGAAAATCCCCTTGCTACCTTCCTTCCTTCAAACCTAGCTTCCCCCCCCCCTTCGGCTCACTGTGTAGCCCTGGAAATCACTCCTTCCCTCAAAAAATCCTAACACTGCTATAAGCAGCCACCCCTTTGCCTTCTCTCCCCACCCGCCAGTACTGATCCGACCCTAAATCAGTCTGGCTAAGAGACAGCAATCCCCCAATACCGGCTCCCCCCTCCAAGAATAACACCTCCCACCTTGTGAAACCCTCACGGGGGGGGGCTCTAACCCTCAAGGAAGACACCACAGGTATACACAGCAAGCCACAATTACACCCCTCAAGACCAGGGAGTTGGAATTGACAAGCCCATCCAAATCAAATTTTACCGCACAGTGTTTTTTTTTTTTTTTTTTTTTTTTTTTTTTTGTTGTTAGAGGTGCTGGTACGAGCAGACACCACTAGCACCTGGGGAGAGGACGTTCGGGCCTTACCGCACAGTGTTATGATTAGAAATCATAGGATTTGAAAACTGCAGAAGCTCACTTTTAGGCATCGATGATCAGAAACGAATTTGTATCAGAAATCAAGAAAAAAACAAGACCATAGGATCAATGATTAGGAAGACTACTGAGTGAAGAAAATTACGAGAAATTATACGAAAATTAGGCTTAGATATCCATAACGGATTTTCGAATCTGATTCCCAAACCACGGTTTGAGAAACTCTTAGCAAAGATGTATAGCACGAAAAAGTTTAAGAAATTAATTTCCANCCATAACGGATTTTCGAATCTGATTCCCAAACCACGGTTTGAGAAACTCTTAGCAAAGATGTATAGCACGAAAAAGTTTAAGAAATTAATTTCCAGAAACCATACAAAAAACACTGAATCAGATCATCATCATTGAAAATATCCAGAATACGTCTACAACCCTCGAACCAGAAATTCACAATAGAGAAGACACAATTCAGAAAACCTAATTAGATCATCATCATTTGGTGAGCGTCAAGGGTTGCGTACTTATCCTTTTTGAATTAATGGGATTAAACGATCGATCTCGAAAACATTTGTAACAAAATCCAAGAATCAACGCGTCCGTAATCATGAGGATCAATAGTGAGTATGCCGTGCTAAGAAAACACCAAGAAAGGCTACTCCATGAATCCTCTCCTCCTCTCCCTTCCCTTCCCCCTTCACTCGCATGTGACGTCACCCCTACCTCGCGGGAACCATCGCCCTCGCGCCCCTCGGCTTCCTCACCCTTCAAAATGGGGCGCACGAGGCATCTAACACGTAGCACAGGGAGACCTCATCGGAGCCGTTCACCAGACGCATGGCACAACAGCCCCTCCCCAGTCTCAACCCCGTCAGCTTGTGACGCAGGCAGATCGCGGCACCGAACAAATCCCCAACACGTACCAACCAAACTAAGAAGATCCATGGAGTAATACCATCGTGAAAACACTTACCTGTCCAAACTGATCCATCACCCTCACCTGCGTGTTCGACGCATGGCATCCCGTATTCCGTGGCTCGATTAAGAGTTCGATGCATGATGATGCTGGCAACCATACCCATCGCAGCCCTTCACCAGCAGCCTCCTCATAGTAACCCCAACCTGTCCGCACGCTGCACCAACATCACCAATCCACCCCATAGCCATCACTCCAAGCCTCTCATCCTCCACCTCACACCACGGCAAACCCTCTCCTCCGAGATCGCGCCGCACCACCGCTCGTTACCGCCCGACACTGCATGACCTCGTGCCACTCCACCGCATGTTGCTGCCCGGTGCCGTTCGATTCGCCTGCGTGGGTGGGGCGCAGCGTTCCCGGCCGCGCTGCGCCCCCATCTCTCCGCAGTTTGTTCTTTCTTCTGTTTCTTCTGCTTCTCCTTCTTTCTTCTGCTTCTCCTTCTCTTTGTTGAAGAAATGGCTCAATCATCAGTAACATAGGCAAGTCATCCTATGCTTCTTCTTCTTCTTCTTCTTCTTCTTCTTCTTCTTCTTCTTCTTCTTGACGAAATGGTTTCGATGATGAGTAACATTGGCAAGCAATCCTCCTGTTGTTGTTGTTGTTGTTGTTGTTGTTGTTGTTGTTGTTGTTGTTGTTGTTGTTGTTCTTTTCAACTTCTTCTCCTTCTTCTCCTCCTTCTCCTCCTCCTCCTCCTCTATCCCCCTCCTCCTCCTCCTCCTCCTCCTCCTCCTCGTTCTCCTCGTCCTCCTCGTCCTCCTCCCCCTTTCCGACGCTCTACTTAGTTTGTTGAAGGAATGGCTCAATGATTAGTAAGATTGGAAAGTTCTTCTCCAGAGTTTATAACTTTGTTCCTTGTTGTTCTCCTTTCGCTCCTATCTTGACGTTTCAGTTGCTTCCGCACCTCCTCACCTGGCTTGCCGTCCTCCTTCCTCCTCCTTGTCGGTGACTATTGCTGCTGTTTTTGGGGCCATAAGTGGCTGTTGTTGTTGCGTTTGGGGGGCAGAAGCGGCCTTTATACGACACGCAGTCAATGGAAGGCCCAAAATTCGGGGTTTTTCGCCGCATCAGTACAAGCAATGTCGTCGAAACTTTGCAAACAAACTATGCAGGCTCATAATACAAACATAAAAAAAACAAACAGGCAAAAAAAAAACGAAAAAAGAAAAAAGTGAACAGCACTATAAAAGTTAATAAAACCCTATTTGAAGTAGCTTCCGAAGTTCGGCAAAACGTTTGCCGAATTCGGTGTTTTTGCCAACTTTTTCGTTACTCGTCCAAAATTCTCCAAATACGCTGAAACTGAATACAGATACACCCTAAAGCTTATACATA